GGTAGTCTTTATATTATATGAGCACTGCATGTTTTTTTGTATGCATATAGGTTTGGTGGGTGAATCTCATTTGTGTTAGGTGCTTAGTGTAGGGGGAGGTTTGTTTTAAATAAATTTTGTAGCGCCTTCGTTTTTTATTATCACCATGACCCTTGTTGTAATCTAAACACTCACACGATAATCCTACCTATGACCTGAACAACAACTGCACACAACAATTCTTGTAACTCGAACACTAACCATTCCACTAACCCTCTCTGTAGCCCACACTCATTAGCATACTGAAATTTACATGTAACCATATCACTAACCATTACGCTAACCTTCCTTGTAACTCTTACACAAATCATCACCAGGGCTTTTTCTCACCAGGAACACAGGGGAACACAGTTCCGGCACCTCCAGCACTGGATGTATGTAATGGCAAAAGGTCGTGGTGTGTGCTGAAGGTTCTATTGTTGCTGGCGGCAAGGGGATCAATTTTTGTTGGGAGGGAACTATTTTCGAGGGGGTCTGTTGTTGCTGGAGAAGTTTATTGTTACTGGTAGCGAATCTATGGATCCTGGGGGGGCTTATGTTGCTGGGAGGGATCTACTGTTGCACGATGGGATCTTTTGCTGCTGGCTGCTGAGAGATCTATTGTTGCTGGGGTGTATCTATTGTTACTGGGGGTATTTTGCTGCTGGGGGGGTTCTAATTATTTCTAGGAAGATCTAATGTTGCTGTCTGTAGAAGATCTATTTTACTGCATTTCTTGTTATCATTAACAAATTTTATTCAGATTACTTAACACCACAAAATGATACTTGGTTATGTAGTCTCTAAAAGGGGAAGTACTGGAAGGTGAGTGGGGGATGGAACCAAGAGACAGTGCTCGGAGGTGGGTAGGGGATGGAACCAAGAGACAGTGCTCGGAGGTGGGTAGGGGGTGGAACCAAGAGACAGTGCTCGGAGGTGGGTAGGGGATGGAACCAAGAGACAGTGCTCGGAGGGGGGTAGGGGATGGAACCAAGAGACAGTGCTCGGAGGAGGGTAGGGGATGGAACCAAGAGACAGTGCTCGGAGGTGGGTAGGGGATGGAACCAAGAGACAGTGCTCGGAGGTGAGTAGGGGATGGAACCAAGAGACAGTGCTCGGAGGTGGGTAGGGGATGGAACCAAGAGACAGTGCTCGGAGGTGGGTAGGGGATGGAACCAAGAGACAGTGCTCGGAGGTGGGTAGGGGATGGAACCAAGAGACAGCGCTCGGAGGTGGGTAGGGGATGGAACCAAGAGACAGTGCTCGGAGGTGGGTAGGGGATGGAACCAAGAGACAGCGCTCGGAGGTGGGTAGGGGATGGAACCAAGAGACAGCGCTCGGAGGTGGGTAGGGGATGGAACCAAGAGACAGCGCTCGGAGGGGGGTAGGGGATGGAACCAAGAGACAGCGCTCGGAGGTGGGTAGGGGATGGAACCAAGAGACAGCGCTCGGAGGTGGGTAGGGGATGGAACCAAGAGACAGTGCTCGGAGGTGGGTAGGGGGCAGAGAAAAGGGGTGACTCAGAGGGAGGGAGTACCTGCACCTATTCTCTGAGAAAAAAAAAGCCATGATCATCACAACAATGTTTCCTGCAACCCTAACTCTAGCACTCACAATATTCTTCTCAGTGACCCTAATACTAACTTTACTTGTAACCCTAACACTAAAGAAATCACAACATCCTCCCTGAAACCCGAATACTAAAGCTGGATATACATGTAAAGTTTTATTTTTTCATTCAACCAGCGGGTTGAACGAAAAAAACCTGACAGATCCCTGCATGAACACAAGTGCTGTTGACGCAGGGATTTCCCCATCCCCACCCCCTTCCTGCCAGACTACAGATCAGTGCTTGCAGCCATGTGTATGTTAATACTAAGATATTAGTTTTAGGGCCTGTTCCTGTGCAAACCTCTGAATGGTCTGAAATCACACTGGATCACACAAGAGTAGTGCAGGCACTACTTTTGAAAAACGTGCCTCGCATCAGAGCGCAAAGCAGTGCGTTTTGAATGTAGTGTGGGAAATGCGCACAGAACGCACCTTTCCTGCATCACCTTCTGGTATGAACCCGCTCTTAGTAAATTAGAGTTGACACAAGCATACAAACATTCTGTGCAGGAAGATAAGCCAGCCATAGGTGGATCAAAATTTGGCAGGTTCAACAGTAACCAGCTAAACTTTAATCCACATATGTGCAGGCTAGTTGCACTGAAGCTAATCCATCGATTGACTTCTGTACAAAAAGCCTGTTGGGTTTGTTTTTTTGTTCGATCACTGCCCGAAGCTATAGCTGTCAGCTATGGGGAACTTCCCACTGTCAGAATACAATAGCTCTGTGGGAGGGATTCCCCCATCAGCACTGAATGCAGTGTGCAATGAGTGCAGGAAAGAAAATGAATGTATGGCCTGCTTTAGAGCCAGGCACACTGAAGGATGTCTTATCATGTTCACATAGTGCTAGATATCTAAATATCAGCAATGTTGACAATATCCAACAGGACATGGTGAGGTAATCGTATGGGACAGCTTGGAGATAGCACCACATAGAATGAAAAATGTTACAACAACATATCTTTGTGATCGAAGATAAGATACCTCTGGATTCTGCACAAGGTGGTATATGTATACCAATAAATATAAAAGTAAGAATTTAATGCTTGAGATTAGTAAATGAATAATGATAGGAAATGATAAAAAATGTACTTGTTTTCATCTTGATTACTGGCCTATCCCAGCCTACTGTGACTTTTTTCCGCTTAGTGAGACATGAAACAATAGAGCACCTAAGCAGAGAGAGTGTCTTTCATTTTTTCTGATAATCACAGAGGTTGACCAACATCTTGGAAATTTTCTTTAATACTGTCCATAAATGGATTGAAATTCAGCTGGTTCAGCAAAAAAACAGACAAATTTTGATCCATGTATGGGCAGGCAGATTGTACTGAAGTTGATCCATCGATCAACTTCAGTACAACCAGCCTGTCAGGTTTTTTCATTCAATCACTGATGGCAACTATACCAATGTATTCTGATGGCTGGGAAACCTCTCACTGTCAGAATACCAAAGTTCTGGGGGAGGGATTCAGTATTGATGGGGGAATCAAGCAATTTTCTGGGTTGCAGGAAAGAAAATTGCTTAACGAATGGCCTGCCTAAGTGATAATGTGAAACAAAACAAAAGCTGATCAGTTTATTTCATCTTATTGAACTGTTACACTTTTTTTGTAGCCCTCCAAATTAAATCTAGAAAGGAGCTAATGGCAGAGTTGTACACATGTCTAAATATACCACACAATGATTGTGTCTCTGTTTCTAAAGCTGTTGTAGCTGTTTTGTCAATTAGCCAATATCCTAAGCCACATTTTGGCATAGTGGGGAGGGATGGAATTATTAAAAAGTGTCCAAGGCAAAATTTGTCTCAACTTTGTCTGAACTGGAGCTCAGCGAATCAGCTTTTAAATTGTCATGTTCTAAAAAATGGAAAAACTGAAAATTAGAAGTTGATTGATTGCTATGGCCAATGGTATCAGTTGAGATAGAACTTTTTTCAGCCATTTTTTTTACATCACTCATTGGCTTGATTTAATAAAGGAGTAAAACATTTTCACTGAGCAGTGTAAATGTTCACTTAGATTGGTAAATGAGATAAAGGTTTGCTGACTTCAGTCATCCAATCCTGTGCAAACATCCGTTTTTTTTACTTTCTATGCACATAATTAGGTTATTTTTTTATAAAGTAAATTTTCACTTAGTTTCTCATTCACTAAAACCAGCAATAGATGGATCAAATCTCGTTTGGTTTAGCAGGGACCAGCTGGGATTTAATCCGTCTGTGGGCAGGCTGGTTGTACTGAAGTCAATCCATCGATCAACTTCAGCAAAATCAGCCTGTTGCATTTTTTTGAGTGTGATCATTGTGTTCTGCTGGCAGGGAAGGCTCCCCACCAGCAGAACACTATAGCACTGCAGGAGGGATTCCTCCATCAACACTGACTATGTTGCTTGGGGAATAAAGTGCTTTTTGGGTTGCACAAAAGAAATCACATCATCTATGGCTTGCCTAAGTTAAAGGATAAATTCACCTTTGGGAACGTGTATTATATTCTACCTGTTTTTAGGGTGAAACATGTAACATGTTCCCATAACCGCAGTCACAGCCACCACCCGCCTCCCCCTCCCTCTAACAGATAGTACGGGGAGAAGTCTCCCCATACTATCTCTCAAATTTGAAAACAGCAAGGCCGTGCGGGGCTCCACCCACATGGCCGCATCATTCGTTTACAGATTTCTGTGAATGAATGAACTGCAAGTCCTGACAGCCTTAGCAGCTGTCGTCTTGTAGTTTTCAATGAAGTACCATAGTAGCTCATTGAAGCTTTCTGTCAGAATATATGCTTGCTCATACATCCCGTACGGCTAGCAGATATTCTGACAGGTCTGCAGGAGACCTGCATGGCATCAGGGATCTACTGATTGCTGGTGCAATGGTTTTCAGGCTCCTGTAGACAAAAATAAAAACATAACATTTTCCCAGAGACTGTGCACTATATTTGGGCAGCACAGTGGCTAAGTGGTTAGCACTTCCACCTGGCAGTACTAGGGTCATTGGTTCGAATTCCAGCCACGGCACCACCTGCCTGGAGTTTGCATGTTCTCCCTGTGCCTGTGTTGGTTTCCTCCCACACTCCAAAAACATGCTGGTAGGTTAACTGGATCTTGTCGAAATTGTCCCTTGTATGTGTATGTATGAATGTGAGTTAGGGACCTTAGATTGTACACCCCTTGAGGGTTAGGGACTGATGTGAATGTACTGATGTAAATGTACAATATATATGTGAAGCGTTGCGTAAATTGACGGAGCTATATAAGTACCTGTAAATAAATAAAAAATATTGCCAAAATTATTGGGACATCCCTTCAAATCATTGGATTCAGGTGTTCAATCACCTCCATGGCAACAGGTGTATAAAATCAAGCACCTAGCATGCAGACTGCTTCTACAAACATTTCTGAAAGAATGGATCTCTCTCAGGAGCTCAGTGAATTCAAGTGTGGTACCGTGATAGGTTGCCACCTGTGCAATAAGTCCATCTGTGAAATTTCTTTGCTACTAAATATTCCACGGTCAACTGTTAGTGGTATTATAACAAAGTGGAAGAAACTGGGAACAACAGCAACCATGGTAGGCTGTGGAAAATGACAGAGCAGGGTCAGCACATGCACAGCAGTCACTCACTGTCTACAGAGTCAATAGCTAATGACCTCCAAACTTTGTGTGGCTTTCAGATTAGCACAACAACAGTGCAAAGAGAGCTTCATGGAATGGGTTTCCATGGCTGAGCAGCTGCATGCAAGCCTTACATCACCAAATGTAATGCAAAGCATCGGATGCAGTGGTGTAAAGCATGCCACCACTGGACTCTAGAGCAGTGGAGATGTGTTATTTCTGTTCCAATACCCCTGTATATGAAATCCTTTGATATTTAATCTCTAAATTCATAGAATATACATGGTCACATAAGAAATCTAGAAAACAATCTCAGTTATTAACCATAAGTAACCTACTGGAAGCATGGGCTTTCCCGAAACCTTGAAATATTATAACCTAATCCTTGATACCAAACAGGACTAGACTGAGCTATAGGAAATCTTAGAAACAAGGGGTGGAGGTTGAAAAAAAATCTTGCGGTCAGGACTTCAGCATATACATAAATCAGCATGGGTACATAAATCACAGCTCCACAGGTCCCACAATTTGGGACTCTGAGCAATGCCAACAAAACTTGCAAAAGATCTCCCCCTTCTACCTATTATGACCAACCCAAAATGTTCACCCAGTTTAAATGCTTGTATTTTTTACAACTGGAAAGTAGACAACCAACTGAGACTACATCACATAGGGATTAAGTTCTTAATCTTACTGAATTTAGAAGATGCTGGAGTCCTACACCTTTAGATTACTGGAGAAAACTCCAACTATCTAATTTTGTTAAACAGCTTCCAAACCACTATTATTCTCCCCTTTTGTGGGAAAAAAAAGCAAAAAAAAAAAAAATACTGTAGCATATAAAATTGCTAGGCAAGCCATATGAAAAATGACCTTTCCTTTTTTAAGCTTCAGCTCTGTACTTTTCTCTAAAATCCAATGCAATATAGCAACGTGGAGGCGTTCTGTACACAGCTGGTATACTTTACACACCCAGCAATGTCATTTCCTGCTTGTGTGATTGGGTCACTGATTTTCCTACAAGTCTGCACTAAATTACAAGACAGATTTTAGGCATCCTTTGCAACATAAATTTCATTTTTGGGGAGATATTACCAAATGATTAATTACTTCTAAAAGGATTCAGACACTGCAATTTTCCTCATTAGAACCCTGCAAGTGAATCAGCCAATTTAAGTCACTCCCAGTCAGATTCACATTGGACACTGACATATCCAAACAAATAGCTATTTATTCAGAGTAACAAAAAGGTAGGAATCTGCAACAAAATTTGTTAAAATCCCTGCAATGTCTATTGATCACCCAGAGGAGATGTTTTTTTCTCAACAAAAGTGAAGGTATTCTTTAAGCTCACCTTACTCCTGAGAGCAGTTGTTTTTACCTATGGGAATACCTTCTCACAGTATCTCATTACTATATAAAATGGTGCTTATCTTGGACCACCAGACCTTACTGTTTTGCTGGAGGTGTGGAGTAGCTCCCAGGACCCAATCTCATATCTTGTGAACTTGTTTACTAATAAAACCCTACTGGAAGTAGATTGTCAACTTTTGTAATGCATATCACCACAGTGACTCTCCCACAAGATATCTACTGTATGTCCACTGCAAAATACAGGAAATCAGTGTTGCCCCACATGTTAAACTCATCCAAAAGCCTGATCCCCAAATATTGAGAAGCCACCAAACCACCACCCTTAGCAGAATGGGTACTATGAAAAAAAAAATCTGTTTTGGAAACATTGCTATTCTCAAATGGGCTGATCTTGAATTTGAATAAATTGGTTACTATTTAGGAACAATTTGGAAATGACTGGAAAGAGTCTCTGACCTCATCTTGCAATTATACTGATATTTTGACCGAAATGCCAATGGTTCACTCTTCTTTTAGGTTATGTTGCTCAGAGACACCATTCCCACCTCCATCCACACCCATAAGTTTTGTTATCTATGTGTTGTATTTACATGCACAATACTCCATTTTTGACTCTAATAAGTGTTGTCATACTACCAAAGTTAAGTATGGTCTGTTACCATTACCATTAACAATAATGTTTACAAAAAATGTGTTTTAATGTTTTGTAAAGAAGCTTTATTCTTACTGTGATGTTGTCTACTATATGGAAATGTACCAATAAAAACCATTGATTAAAATAATACATAAAAACCTGACAGGGGTTTTATTGCCTTGCCACTCCATCCAAAACTAAAGATTTTGCTTTAGAAACATTTTGAGAGATATTATGTTCTGGTTGGTTGAATTTTACTAACAACTTGATCAAATTTATTTTGCTGTAGTCAGTGAGTTTAGTCAGTCAGTAAAAAACTTCATTGTGATTGGTCTATTTGAGTTACTGCAATCTCACTTTGCCTTGTTCAACCACCCAACCTAACAGTTCAATCTACTAAGCTTTTTTGTAAGGTTTTTTTTTTGTAGAATTCAACTGATTTTTATGAATACGTTCAATTCTGTGAGAGCCCACACACTTTTAAGGTCTCTGCAATAATATAAGTAAATACTGTACAATCCATCTGTGCGTACAATTATCAGTCAGCTATTATACTGTTACCCCCCCCGCCCGCCCCCCCATCCCCCATGACCCTTTCTCCAAGACAAAAATTGGTATCATTCTGTGGCCTCCATTTACTCATTTAATTTCACCAAGGCAACCAATAGACAAAGAATTCCCAGCAGATTTATTATAGTTTAATGCACTTGCATGCTTATTCTATAAGGAGTACAAGAGACAATAGGGTTGTGCAGATGGACAGCCGACAATGGATGCCTCATAGTAAGCCTATGGGTGACGTTATAGCAACCTAACAACTGGGAATTGTCCGACCCTGGAATGGCATGTGTGACTATTGCATGGAAAAGGTCTGATCATTCTCAAACAAATAATCATAAGTTTGGGTTGTATCCATGTAAGTTCCAAATAAACAATCCCTTGTCTACTTGACATGTTTATATGTATGTCAAGTTATCTGAAAATCACTGTCTTTGAGGTAATGCCACATGGCACTGGGCTATCACTACTTATCTGTGCTTTTTCAGCAGAGATGAATAGAAAGATGAAAAGCACAGCACATAAAAAAAGATTCTTGCCTTCCAGTACTACTGTTCCTGCAGGTTCTGCCACCTGTACCTGACAATGGTTACATGCAAGAAAATTGATTATCGTTTTTTTAAAGCTATTTAGAAAATCTATGAGTGGATAAAGGTAATAATAATAAAACTGTCCAAACAACATATTTTTATGGGCTTAGATACATTCACTTCTTTTTAAATGAAAACAAGTATTATGTGCGCCAAATGTGATCCAGACAATTGCTATAATTACCATATGGAATTTTACTTCAGTCAATAAGATCAAAACATCAAAATATTGATCTACACAGAATAAACATAATTTACTTATCTCTGAAACTGTAGCTAGGTTCCCTGAAAGGATAATAATGCACATACAAAAGACAAAACCCTAATGCCTATGTGATGTGTTCTAAAGTATTACAAATGGAACAGTGAAAATGTGGAATTAACATAAAATATCAAAAAAATCTCAACTAAGTATTGAGAGTGTGAGGAAGACAAAAACATTCAAATGTAGAGTAGATAAAATAAAATGGATGTTCTATGCTGGCCATAGACAGAGTTATAACTTTTCAAGCAATTTGAAAATTTGTGAACATGGGCAGTTTCTGATTTTCAGTTTTTCTTCCTGACAAGTAAATGCATGGCCAACACAGAGTAAAGAATCTCAAACAGATTTTTTTAACAGCCGTGTAACAAGACTTAAAGCCCTAGAGGAGCAAATGTGTGAGAAAATCACTGCAAAGTGATTCACCCAATGGAGAGAAATGTTGCATACATTGATAACGCTTACATTCCCTCTTAATCTAGAAAATATTCACATGCAATGAGTCAAAAGCTCTCATTATTACCCTCTAGGATAGTGCTAAATATCAATGGTACAGAAAAGTGGCAACCACCCTTACCTATAAGGTTCACATGGAAGGGCAATGCACATCACAAACAAAGGATTTCCCAGCACACTTACCACCCATCCTGCAAAACAACCGAATTGCCCTGTCTAACAGCGGGCAGAGGGTTTTGTTTGCACCCATTTGCATACATAAAGCCCAAGCCAAGGGACCTCTATGTATATGGTGGTCCTATGTTTAAATTTCCAGAGCCTGCATAGTAGGAGCACATATAAGAATGGATAGATTAAATTGATCCATTTAAAGATAAATGGGCCAATACTCTCCCAAACATTGCATCACACCATGAGATTAGAAGTGGGATTAGGTAGCATTGACTATATATATACTGTATGTCACAAAATTGTATATTTTGCTTTTCGCAATTTCCCTTCCTGGTCCATCTTCATGGCATTGGTGAAACAATAACCCATTGTCTGCTGCCATGATGAGCAAGAAAAACAAGAAATTAATCTTTCCATTCTGTAATTTTTCTTTCCTAGTTAATTTTAATGGCAGCCTACAATTTATTTAACATTTCCTAATGTCTGACCACCTTATATAAAAGTACCATAATTGTTGTTTTACAATAATTAAGTCCAGTGGTAAGGTTCATTAAATTATATATAATATTATTAAAACTAGGAATACACCGGTGCAGATACTGAGTGTTTCCATGAGTACTCATACTCATGCACATACTCCCGATACCTTAACTGATACTTTGTGGTGCACTTTGGATTAATGGATGCAGATTGCACAGCAAAGATTAGCATAAGATTTGAACAGGAATGCAATTCCTATCCAAATCGCATGCGGTTTCCCCACTGCTCCTGTGTGAACCCAGGCTTGTCATAGCCCGAGTTCACACAGGAGCAGTGCAGGAAACCTCCCTGCAGGCATCCCATGCTGAATCTCAGTGGTAGGAGAGGAGAGAAAGCAGCGGGGATTTCAAATCCCAACCACTTTCTTTCCTCTCCTTGCAGGGATGACAGTTCGGACTAGAGGGCTGCTGATTGGTCAGCACCGTCACATGGGCGGTAGACTAATCAGATGCCATCTAGCCCGTACTGTCATTGCTGCAAGGAGAGGAGAGAAAGCCATGGGGATTTCAAATCCCCAGACCTGTGAAGCGGCTTTCTCTCCTCTCCTTGCAGCGATGACAGTCGGGCTAAATGGCATATGATTGGTCAGCACCATCCATGTGATGGTGCTGCTGACCAATCAAAAGTCCTCTAGCCTGAACTGTCATCCCTGCAAGGAGAGGAAAGAAAGCGGCTGGGATATCCTTTCCGCTTTCTCTCC